TCTCCATTCTAGGCATGATTTTCTTTGTGGTCTTCTCAGCCATTGTTTGACTCCCCCCCCCCCCCCCCCCCCCCCCCCCCGCCTAGGACCCCTTTTCCTACTTCCCCAGACTCACTTTGTTAGTTCTAGCAAGGAAATCACTGGGTCCATGTCCCCGACTCCAGACAGGTCTTTTCCTCTCTGTACCCTGACCTCATCCAGGAGAGCTCAGTATTTGCATTTGCATAGATGGGTGGCTCTTTTGTCTCCAACTCGCTCAGCAAGGTGGCAGCCTAGTGGCTGGGGTAGTGTGTATGTATGCATATCCAACATATGTATGCCTGCGTGAATCTATTTAAATTTGTATGTGTTGTATGTGCGTGTGTGATGTGTATGCTCCTCCGTGTGCATGTGAGTGCTCACATGTCCATGTGAAGGCCAGATCAGCATCAAGAATCTTCCTCAATCACTTCTCTGCTTTCCTTTTTAAAGACAGGGTCTCTCCTTGGCCCTGGAGCTTATTGGGTGGCTAGGTTGGCTGGACAGTGTGCTTCAGGGATCCTGGGCTCACTAATTATCCCAACACTGGAGTTATAGATGTACCTGGCTTTTGCGTTCTCTCTCTCTCTCTCTCTCTCTCTCTCTCCCCTCCCTCCCTCCCTCCCTCCCTCCCTCCCTCCCTTCCTTCCTTGTGGGCCCTGGGCATCCAAACTCAGGCCCTTATGTTTACGTAGCAGACGCTTTACATACTGAGCCTTCACCTTAGTTAAAAGCTGTTTATTGAGAAAAGATTAGAAAAATAAATCTTGATGCTTTTCTGCCTTAATTTCAATGCAACTTGTTTTTTCTCTCTCTCTTTTCTTTTGTCTTATCTTTTCTCTTTCCTTCTCTCCCTTTTGGAGGCAGGGTCTCCCCCAACCTATGAGGGCATGGAACTCACTATGTAACTGAACTTGATCGTCCTGCCTCAGCCTCTAGAGGGCTAGGACTGTAGAAGTGAGCTGTCATATCCTGCTCCAGTTTCCATTTAAAAGAGATACAAAGTTTTTTAGGGCAGTTTGAAACCTGATTGAAGGAAGATAGAAGCCCACTGCGTACTCCCCCAGCCTCCCTACTGCTAATACCCTACTCTGATGCTGCTTTGTTACAACTCTGTGTTTACAACAGTGATACACTGTTACTACCCAGAGCTTATAGCTGCCCGCAGTTTACTCCTTGGGCTTTGGATACATGCATATTACCTGATGACCATTACAGTATCATTTAGAATATTTCACCACCTTGAAGATACCCCATGTTTTGCCTATTCATCCCTCCCTCCCCCACCCAGCTTCTGATAGCCTCTGATCTTTTACCATCTCTATTGTTTTCCCTCTTCCCAAATGTCATGTACTCAGCATCTTATGTCCTGCAGCTTTCATGAGTTTCTCATGGTGTGACAGCTCATTTCCTTTTATCACCAAATAATTTTCTGTTGTCTATACTCCCTTCCTCTTTATTTCGCTACAAAGAGAGGGACATTGCTCTTCCCAGAGTTACAAGGTTGCTCTTGGCGAAGCAGCGTTAAAGTGAGTGGTTCACTTCTGGTCTTGTCTACTGCTGCCTCCCGATCTCTTCTTGCCTAGGCCACCATTAATACTTGAATAAATGTAACCATGTCCATGGTTACTTGGTTTGTGGCAATTCTGCTTCATTCAAAATACAAACAAACTTGTAAGCATTTTTTATAAACCCAAATTGTTATTATAATATTTATTCTTTTCTTTATATGGAATATACTTACTGAGTATTCATGCACCAAACTTTTGGTCCATGGAGGATAAATAACCTCTGCCTTATTTTAAGATAAAAAATGAGTCATTTATATACACGGTGGCTGCTGCTGATGTGTGCTGTGTAAACACGGACCATTTGGGGGATAGATGCAGGACTGGGGGTGCTATGTGCCAGGAGGCAAGAACTCACAGATCAGCTAACATTTGAGCAGAGAGCTATCTAATTAGTATGGCTCTATGAGCATTGGGGAAAGAGGAGAGCCTTGCAGGCCAGGGACACACCAAGTACAGAGGCCCCAAGACCAGGCCACCGTTAGTCTGCCCCAGGAAGATCAAGGCAGCTAGTACTGAAGTTGAGTGACCAAAAGGAAGGAGCAGGGGCAGCAAGGCCAAGCAGAACAGAACAGTGCTGCTTAAAAGTAATGCAACACACCATGCACATGGAATTCTTTTTTTTTTTTTTTTGCACATGGAATTCTAAATGTTTTAGTGGCCACATCAAAAAGAAAAAAGATAGGTGAAGTTAATTTTGATACAATGTTTAATACTTCATGTCTAAAATATTATCCCAACATGCGATTAAAGCAAAGAAATTATTAGTAGATGCTGTCTAGCTTAATAACCTTTTAGCATCTGGGATGTGTTTTCTAATCTTTCCAGTTCAATGGCCAGTGGTTACCATGTTGGACAATGCAAACACAGAGCCTTGTAGTTCATGCTGAAGTCACTGAGTGAAGCCAGTGGATGTCCTGGAACCTTGGAGGGACACACCTTTGTGCCTGAGGTTCTTGAAATTCGCGCCAGTTTCTGTGATGAGAAAAGATCATTGTGGGGTGTTATGAAAGTTGGGGGACAGGGCATGGTGGTGACCTTGGGGGAAGGTGGTTGTAAGGCAGTGAGAATTGGTGTATTCTGGGTATGTTTTGAAGGTGGATTTCCTGGTTTTCCTGATGTGGTTGTGAAGGAGAGAGGAGTCAGGGACTGGGTAAGGACTGTGGCTTGAGCTGCTTTGGTGTGGCTGTTTTCAGAAGGATGCAGGTGACTGTTATCTGAGCCATGGGGACAAGGGGGGATGGGTTTGACATAAGAGTGTTGGGTTTTCAGGTAGTATTGTTGAGTAGAGGTGAACAGGTGAATCTGGGGTTTGCGAGAGAGGTCTCAGGATGTAGAAGGAGGCTGACTGACAGTGTTTAATGACGTGAGATAAAATGATAGCCCCAACTGCCTGGAGAGGAGGGCTGGGCCCTGGGGAGCACAGACAAAAACCAACAAAACAACCTGAGCAGCGAGTTATCGGGGAGGACAGAATGAAGACAAGCGAGGAAGGAGATTTCAGGCAGAAGGGAAAAAGCTGCTGGGCACAGGGTTGCAGGTATGCCAGCTGGAAAGGCTGGGTCTGCGGGTTCCTATCTATGATGTGGGAGCTGCCAGGCTGGTGTGGGTCTGAGAGAAAATGCAAGGAGAGCCAGACACAGATGGGGTAAGACAACTAGTTTCCGCTTTAAAGGGGAACAGAAAATGGGGTGACATTAAGGGAACCACATGACCACTAGGAGACCCCCCCAAATTAAAGACAGCCAGTCATATAGTCAATGGGAATATTCTAGAAGACAGAACCAATTCATGATGTAAAGAAAGTTATGAGCATTTTCGTATGCTAACAAAGATGCTTTGTGGCAGGTACTGTTTTGCAGACAAGGAAACCGAGGCAAAGAATTGTTTACCCTGATGTGTAGCAGGGCATGAAGGCGGGCTCCGTTTTACAAGGCTTAGTTTTGTCCTGGTTCTGTCTCTTGGTTTCCTGGCTGGAGTAGTCAGCTCTTTAGTTGGGACTTCTTAATACTTTAATGTTTTGAGTGCCCATCATGGCACCCAGCAGGGGTAGGACCTTATAGGTATTTAATGACCCAGCAATCAGAGGACCAGGAACTGCACATGCGAATGCTGAGTCACCACACTTATCTGTAGCGGGGTCATGCTTCTACCAGCCCAGTTTTGAGCCTTCCCTACCCTATGGCAGGTTCTTGTATAGACAACCGCACCGGCAATGGAACATGGCAGGGTAGAAGAACTTACCTCTGGTCTAGGCTGATAATTCTCCAGGCACACGATGGTGCCGAGCAACTGGCTTCTGCCTCTAGTTTTCTGTCAAGGTGCAGGATGGCTGTGGCAGTCCCGTACCCACCCAGGATTCATTTTCTTTACCTGTAAAACACAGGTTGGGTTGGGTGACCGCTCACCTGATTGGTCCCAGAAGATCTCAGGTGGGCATGTGCAGATTGGGGGTCCTGCCCCTCTTTCTGCCGGTCACCAAATTGGACAAGAGGGTCTTCCTAGGTGGGGGGTGGGTGGTAGAGTCAGATTGTTTCTCTGCCAGGCATCCTCTTGGTACAATGGAGATCTGTGAGGTTGGGACAGCCATCACGGAGTAGCCTTGCTATTCCTGGGAGTCCTGCTGTGTACCTCAGACATCTCCCCCACTGTATTAAACAGAAAGCCACAACAGTATGGCAAGAGACCCAGCCCATCTGGCTCGTGGTTGGTTTTACACCCAACAGTGTCAGAGTTGAAGCTGGGGCAGTCTGCCCTTCACACTTAGCAAACTTGTGTGCTCCCTTGTAGGCAGCAGTGGCAATCACACCCTTCTGGACACAGAAGAATAGCTTTGGTGGTTGCAAGGGTAGGGGTGAGGAGGGCAGCCAGGGTGTTTTCAGAATCCTTGTTGACAGAACTTAGTGATGAGTGTTCCCCACTCCAAATGCCAGTGGTGCCAGTTCTTCAAAGTTCCACGGAACTGTGCTGCTGGAGGACTGGCAGGGGCCCCTACTTATGTGACTCTGAGCCAGACATGTTATTTTCCTGCCCTAGTAGACAGGGCCATGAATGACCACTTCTAAGCATCTGAAGCTGGGGTTAGTCTAAGACCTTGGGATGAGTCTCCTTCTGAACTACTCCTTGCATGTGTAGGGTACCCCTTTCCTGGAGCTGTTTCCTACAGTGTACCCCTTTCCTGGAGCTGTCTCCTACAGTGTACCCCTTTCCTGGAACTGTCTCCTGTACTTTGGGCACCTGCATATTAACATCTTTAATACTCACTACAGCCATACATTATTGGAAATGATCTTTATTCCAAGACCAAGAAACTGAGGCAAGGAGCCTGCCTACGGTACCAATCTTGAGTGTCCACACACGCCCTCCCGCTGTGGCCGTATGCACCTCTGACTAATGTTCTCCTTCCTCCTCCAGGGACAGGGGCAGACCCGGTGGTCAGTGCCAAGAGCAATCACTGCCTGGATGCGGCCAAGGCCTGCAACCTGAATGACAACTGCAAGAAGCTTCGCTCCTCCTACATCTCCATCTGCAACCGCGAGATCTCGTCCACCGAACGCTGCAACCGCCGCAAGTGCCACAAGGCCCTGCGCCAGTTCTTTGACCGCGTGCCCAGCGAGTACACCTACCGCATGCTCTTCTGCTCCTGTCAGGACCAGGCATGCGCTGAGCGCCGCCGGCAGACCATTCTGCCCAGCTGCTCCTATGAGGACAAGGAGAAGCCGAACTGCCTGGACCTGCGTACCCTGTGCCGTATAGACCACCTATGCCGGTAAGAACTGCTGAAGTTCTGGCTGTTGACTAGGGGTGCTCGCGTGTGGTTGGGTCGTATTTTAGGGTCACTTGAATTATGATCATGAATGAACCCGGCAGAAGGTGTTGAGAAGGCTAAAACTGGTTGGTCGTAGGTGGAATCAGTTGTCACCTATTCATGTCATTCATTCAGCCACTCATCGGTCCATCTATAACATTCATTCATCTGTCCATCACCCAGCTCTTCCATTCAGTGTGAGTTTATTATTTGTCTACACTGTGTGCAGCTTCATGCTGAGTACTTGAAGGGATGCCAGAACTAACTACCCCAGGAGTTTATAGTTTCAAGTCATGGATTTCTAACAGGAGAAAGGGACCTTCAGAGGTTTTTGCTCCACTTTTAAGGGAAGCCCGTGCCCATGTCCCAGCAGAGGAATGTGATTTAAGAGCCAGATCACTGCAGACGGAGAGCAAAGCCACGCTAGTGTTCAGTGAGGACTGGGTTCTGGAGGCTAATAGTCCTGGGTTCAAATCCTGTGTGGCTTTAAGTCAGTTTTTAAGATTTCCCGTGTTATCATGGCTTCATCTGTGAACAAGGAATACGTAATATCCTGGCACTGATGTGCACATGATTACATATCCAAGCCTTAGCACAGAGCCTGGCATGTAGCTAATATATTTAATGAGTATAGCCTAATTATTAGGTATGAGTTTTCAAAATTTGGTTATAGCTAGTTGAAATTCGCTTTTTACTTTTTTTTTGGCGTTTGTTGTGCTTTTCCTGTCAGCAAAATATTGATTTATTGAGCCATGTCATGTGCAGTGCTCGCTACTCAGTCCTGGCCATAGAGAGGAGAGCACGCTGCTCTCAACAGGGCCCACATTCCACAGGAGGGAGATGTGGTCCCAACTCAGTGGAGCGTGGCTGGGGCTTGCAGAGAAGGGAGCCCAGGGGAGGGCTGTCTGACAAAGTCTGGGAGTCCTGAGGGGGATCATTGTGTTGATGGAGCCTTGAGGATTGAGGAGGAGAAGGCCCAGGGGTGAGTCTGTCAGGAGAAACTTGAAGGAGAGCGTGGGCTGATGGGAACTTCAGAGGTGGGTGTTGGGGGACCGCTGGAGAAGGGAAGGTTGTGATTGTCTTAACTGTCTACTGTGTCTGGACACTGTCTAAAGGCTTCATGCTTGTAACCTATTAACCCTGAAGAAAATCTCTGAGGTAGGCAGGCACTGTTGTCAACATTGAAGGGGAGGAAGCAGACTGAGGAAGTCTCTTGCCCAAGGTCACAGGTCACACCCACTTTATAGCTGGGACTGTGTAGTACTCTTTCTTACCACTATGACTGCACAGTCCGAATGACAGCAGGCATATCACCTTGAACTACGGGAATGGCTGTAGGCGATGAAGAAAAGGGGATTTTTTTTTTTCATTGAAGATGCTAAGTAGACTTGACCAGACTGTCTGTCTGTCTGAAAGTCTCCTGGAGGCAAGAATAATTCTGTACCTCTTCCTGAATTTAGAGTGTGGCCTTGGGGAACACTCAGCAACACACTAATTGGATGGATGTGTGCTTGGCAATTGCTCGTTTCCTAGTTGAATAACCATGAGTCAATGGAATTATTCTTTGGGGGTGGCATTGGACGTGCAGTTTCTGAGGGACCAGAGTGACCATTATGGTAGCATCTGGGGTTCTTGCCCTGGCGATTCCGGAGCTCAGTCAGGAAGCTGCAGAGAAGGGGTGGATATAGGTGTTCTTGAGGACTTGGTTATGATCAAAGTCCAGTCTTGTACTGTGGAGGGTTGATGGAGCCCATGAGGGAGTCTAGGCTGGAGGTGAATGGGGCATCATCAGTGTCAGGGAATAAGTGGGGCCATTGGTGTGGGACTTGGGGCTGTCTCTACTGGAAATGCCCATGCCCAGGGAAGAGAAGGACCGAAACAGTACAGCAGAAGACAGGGATGCAGAGGAGGTTACCGGAAAACCAGGAGGTAGTAACTCAGAATCCAGAAGAAAGGAGGTTCAAGAGGGAGGGATCTGCCTCAATATGTATGTGGATGTGTGCATGCCTGTCTCTGTGTGTGCTGAAAGCCAATGGCTGTTGCCCAGCTTTCCAGTCTTCTAGCTTCCAGGTGCTGAGGAGATAGAAGAGGTACCGGGTTCAAGCTGTTTTCTTCAGAAGGCTGCAAGGCTGAGGCTAGAGCCTTCAGGAGAACATAGGACGGAAGAGAGCTTTTATATTGTTTTTTGTCCCTGGGGTGTTGGGCCTGTGTGCAGCTGGACTGGGAGGCTCCACTTTTGTTTGGCTTGGAAAGCAAGCTCTCACAGTGTTTAGAGAAGGGATTGAGCGTTGAGCTAGCTACAGGGCTCGGGGAAAGCCTTGCAAAGAAATAGACTTTTGAGTCTGCTTTTTAAAAAAATGTACATTAGATATAACAGAGGAAGGAATTTGAAATATTGTGCCTACTACAATAGAGGGGTTGGTGGTGGCAACCAAGGGCCCTACAAGGAAGGTGCAAGCATAAGCCTTGACTGTATGGACTGGCAGAGCTCTGAGCAGTGAACCAGGTTCATCCAGAAAGCCCCGCAGGCTGCAGGGTGCCTATGTAGGTGTTTAGAGTCTAGCTACTCAGACATCTGAGTTAGGAGCCTTCAGCAGATAAGATCTTGTGCGTACTTGTCAGTATTGTTCTGAGGAAGGATGGGTGGCCTATAGGACTTGTGCCTCTGGTGGTTGAAGTCATGTTTGAGATGGAGGACCATGAAGTATTTTGATGACTTCATCATCAAAGAAACAGAAAGATTGTTTGCTTATTTTCCTGGAGTTGGGCAGCCATGATAAGGAGAATTATGGGGTAGACAGCACATGGTGGAATCAGAACAGATCTTTAAATGCCATTAGGCATTTTGAGGGTCCAGGTAGAGGAATAGAGGACTGAGCAAGAAAATGAGCCCCTTGGGTTTGTGGACTTCAGGGACTGCACAGCAGAGGTCTGTAGACAACACCACTTCGGGATTTGGGCTGTGGCTCAGTTTGTCAGGTAGGAAGTTTGTGTTGGTTCACGATGAGGCTATGTGAGTGTCTTTGTCCACCAGGACATCCTGAATCCATCTTTGCTTGGGTCCTGTCTTACTCACCACACCCTCCAGGGTACAGATGCAACAGGGCATCCCAGAGAAGGAAGGGCAGGAATGAGGAAAGAGCCTGCATCTAGGATGAGTCTGGCAGAGGCACTGGGGGATGTCACAGCACAGCCAGATTCCTGCAGGGGCCTTGGCTCTCGACTCAGCTGAAGCTTTAGGTGTGCTGGAGAGAACCCAGAGATGGAAATGCAGAGTGACAGGCAGGTGGTGGGTGGAGTGGGTGGGACTCCAAGCTGGAGACCTGCATGTGGTCTCCTGAATGGCCTCCTAGTGGGCTATGTCCTTCCCTGGGCCCTTGGTTTCTACACTGATGAAGCAAAGATACTTATCCAAGGCATCTTTTGGGATCTTTTTTCATTGTCCAGATGTGTGGCCTGGAGTCTTTCCAGGTGGTTTCCAGGATCCTTCCTGTTGCTCCTGGGACCAGTCTCAAAGGGTTTTCTTTGAAGGATCTTCCCAGGATGACCTAGAAGGAAAAGAGGGACTATCTTTTGTCTAGTGCCCACAGCTCTGACCTTTGACCTATGCATCACTGCCCAGCAGTTCCTGATGGCTTTGACCTCTGACCCATGCGTCATTACCCAGCAGTCCCTGGTGGTCCTGTTGGTGCTAATCTCAGTTCTGTGAGGTCAAAGATGGCTTGAAAGGGCAACTGGAGAACATCAAACTGGGCTTGACTCTCGCTGTGCCCAGGAAGGAACAGAGGACCCTTTCTCTTTTGGGTGTGCTAATAAAATGGGTTAGATGGGGGTAAGGGGGAAACCTCTCTGGGGGATGATTCTTTGGAAACTGAGCTCTCATCCTTAGGGATCCCCTACAGCCCCCCATATGCTTTGTTTCTATAGCATCCAGTCCTGCCTCATCCACTAGCCTTCCTTCTATGGAGAGGACCCATACATCCCTAGGCTTCTTCCTGAATCAATCCTGGCCCAGGAATGCTGGAGTTAGAGCAGCTTTGCCGAAGCCTAGGTGGCATGACACGGGAGCTGATCCGCTGATGTGCTGGGAGGCTGGCTCAGCTTGCACTCTACCGGTGTGATGTACAGCGGATTCTGCTGTGCCGTCTTGTTAAGTGGCTACCAGTGTGGGCTTCCCTTGACCTAGCACTGGTTAATAGGGATATCTGCAAGGTGGGCCTTGGAGTTAGGGGAAGCTCTTCCGAATCCTTCACTGCTCTCTGGAACAGGGCCAGATGGAGCTTCTGGGAGTGGAAACGTCATGCTGTGTTCACAGGGTATCTAGATGGCCATCTCTTAAGAGACCCCACTCTCTGATTTTTGTCCCATTCCAACCCTGAGCCTCAAGGCTGTGGACTTAAGCTAACTGAAGATCTGAAGATGACCAGGGGAAGACATTTCCTTTCGAAGCCTCCGATAGGGAGCCTAGAAAGCTGGAAAAGTTCTGGAATGAGTCCGTGGAATCTGACTGGACTTTCTCCAGGGTCCTGTGGTTCATGAGCTATTTTTAAATTTATGAACATTATTGTTTTTATCTTCTCAGCTTGCATTCATTGTAAGGATGTGCTCAGATTGTGTGTGTGTTCATGTGCATGTTGTGGTGGCTGTGAGGTTGTGGGGAGGATGATTGCTGTCTTACTATCTCTAGCAGGCCGCATTTGGAAATGGCCTCTTGAAGAGCTCTGTTCCTCCTGGTCTGCCAGAAGGCTATAAATAACCTCCTGCTGGACCCATGCCATCTAAAGAGCTGCGATTTAACCTCTGGATGCTGAGGATGTGCAGAAATAGACTCCAGCCTGGGGCTACCCCAACAGTCTTGGGCTACTTTGTGCTGTGGCTGCTGTCTTTGTCCTAAGGGAGAGGATGGTTGGGATATGGAGTGGAGGGAGGTTGCCCCCCTCTCTCGCGCTGTCCTAAACTGG